GTGCAAAGAGACCCAGGCAGATAACTAGGTGTGATGAGAGAGTTTTGGACATTTTATGCTAAATACTATATGGTCAAGGTGGAGGAAACCCAAAAGAATATATATTTACAAGGATGCACACACAGAAACAGAGGAGGACTCTTCATTGCATCGGACTGCAAATAACCAATTCATCAATAACGTTTCTACTCCTACTTTTTTATGTGTAGCTTCAACCAGACACAGCAGAAACATTTAGTGAGTGTATGTTTTATAGATTGTTTTGTCTATCCTTCTCTACACTGACCAGACCTTTGGTCCAGAACAGACAGGAGTGAAGTGAGTGAAGGATTTAGGGCCCAGCAGCACATGTAGGCGGAACCACCCGGGACAGACGCAGCCCTCCTCTCCCATCTCTGTTTATCAACTCTGGGTCCACATCAGGGTGACAGAGACCAGACCAACACTCCAAAAAGCAGGCCTGTCGTTTTGCCCCATACAGACAACCCAAATGTCTGCTAATAAGAAAGAAAAGATCTCAGTTAATGATTGAAAAACTATAGCTTTTTGTGTTATTTTTGTATTTAAATATGACTTCTTTCTTTCTTACAAAAGCAATAAACATGATATAAAAACAAATACAGCGTCTCACTCATTGACACACAACGCAAGACACCTACATGCACGCACACACAAGCACACGCAAGCACACACACGCACACAAGCACACACACAGACAGAGAGAGAGAGGGAGACCAGACACAGGCCCAAACACTCTCCGACCATTCACTCGCCCCCACTACTCACTTTGTGTTGATGTCATTACTCCTCTCTTTCCTGCAGTACTTTTGGAACTGAATCATATTTGAAATCATTTCTGGTCATTCTGGTGATTCATTCCAAATAGTAGATCCACAGACTGAAGTTATAGGGTGAGATTAACGTTGAGTCACAGACGGAATTGGACAGAACAGAGTGGACGGACCGAGTGTGGACGTAACCCATTGTGTTTGCCGAATGCTGAAGAAGCCGATTCGAACATAAGCTAGCGGGAGCCAATTTCCTTATATGGGCTTATGCTCTGATGGGGTAAGCTTTGCGCCTTAACAGGGGCAGATATGTGAATAAGATGATTACTAGAACGAGCCAAATCCGTATGGTTCACATCAGGTCAGGTCCATAGAGAACACTAAACCACAGATTTTTTTTTGAGTGTGACACAGACCGTTATTGAGCGAGAGAATTTAACTTTTCAATGTGAGACAATGGCAGCCAGAGCGAGTTGGAGCCTAACTTTGTCCACAAGCACTTCCCTATTTGACAATGCTAAGCCCCTAGCTCAACGAATCTATATCTGATCATCTATCTACAGTCTATGGGTTGAGTCAATTATTATAATGCTTTCCCCTAACTTACAAAAAACCTCTTAACCTATGTTTCATGTTTGTAATACACAGATAATTTGCTAAATGCCCTGAACTTCTGTATTATTGTATGCACATGGTAAAGTTTGTATCACAACAAGATTTCCCAGCAAGTTACTCCCTCGTACTGTAACTTTGGGACTTCCGGGCCATTAACCTGCAACGTGACACAAAATCTGTCTTATTTTGAAGCCGTCTGGCCCCCGGACGTCCCTGTCACTGAATATCAAAGCTTTGAGCTGCGTTTGAAAAATAATATCATATTAACTGCTCCCATAAAGATGCTCATAAGTCTCCCTTATTGTCTCTCCTGTCTGCCACTTCCTGTATCGTTGCACTCGGAGCAACCTCTTGTTCACTTGAGTTTCTTTGGGCTGCGTTCAGAGGTACTTGAACTGTGCTGAGACGTGTAAAAAGTGCATGAGTGCGTCTGCTGTCGGGGGAGTGCACGGTGATAAGGGACAGACAACTGGAGCAATAGGACTTAGATGAATGGTGTTTTTCTCACCCTTGAGCCCCATTACGGATTTCAGATTCTCCCATTTAGTTTGAACAAAATTGGGGTACTGGGATTCTTTTCGTTTTCTGTCGGCAGTCTTAGCATGTGATAACTCCTAGGTTGATTAACAAGGAAAAAAGTAGGATTAACTAGGACTAGAGAAAATATCGATTTGGTGCACACTGGGGTAGTCTTGCATAGTTTTTCCAATGTGGTTTTACTGCAAATGGCAAATAAATAATTCTTGTATCTTTTTTTTATTGAATTGGTAGGTAGGTCAAATGTATGTGATTTTGTTCTTGTCAAACTCTAGCTCTGCCATAGACATGTTATGCAAAAAGTTTTGATTCTAGATTCAGACAGGGCCTTTCTGAGTGGAGTTTGCATGTTCTCCCTGTGTCTGCATACGTAGGTTTCCTCCAGGTGCTACGATTCCTCTACCACTAAAAACAAGTACAATAGCTCCCCTCTCTCTGAATCCTGCAGTTGATGGAACAAAGTTTGTAGCTATATCTATGTCAAAGAATCGAATACCTTTCACTTTATTTTTTATGAGTTAAAAAAATGCTGTTAAATTGATAATTGGAAGAATAGCATCCATAAGCATTGATATTAGTTTAAAACATATCTACATTTCCATTCCTTATTGGTACCCTACTGTCAAAACATATAATATCAACTAATGATCAATATTTTTTTTCTTTTATTTTATGATTTCATTACATGATCTTCTGCCTACATATGTGCACTTAATAAAGTTTTTTTAATGGTGCGGGGTACAGCCCATCTCTTGCAAGAACTACTAACCAACACAAATGTGTAAGTGGTTTGAATAGTCAATTCTGTTCTGTAACTATATTTCTCCAAACAGTTGCTTTGTGAAGCTCGAATGATCCGTGGCATCAGGTGTCCTCTTCGGTGGCCGTGTGAACAACATCTGGAAGTCGTCCCTTAGTGGTGACATCACACAAACCAGCCTGACCTATGTGACCCTTGAGCGGCTAATTAGCTCAATGTCCCTCCATAACTGCTGGGGACCCTTGCTTTTGTCTTTCATTCTCACTCCCCCTCTCCACCTGTTGCCATTTGTCACGGTGGCACTGCATATTTTGCCCATTGGCTTCCAGTCCCACATTAACTATTGAAAGCCTTTTTTTTATTAACAGAAGAAGCTATTTCAGTTCACCACACCGCCCCCACCTCCACAAGCTTTTGCCTAATCTTGAACTCATGTATCTCAATGGTGATCATCAATCTAGCAGAGTCTATTATTACTTTTCCGCTAAGTGCTTTGATTCAGAGCCCACCCACGAAACAGTCTGTGTCCCTCTGAGCATCTCTCCGACCATCTCTTTTCAAACAGGGGAATTTATTTTTAGTAGATATTTTACTTCAAAGTACTGTGGTTTACAAATTCAGTGCGGCCCATATGACGATGTGTTTATCCATTTTAAGGCATCGTATAGTGTGGCAGAAGAAGCAGGACCATCATTGCCTGTTTAGAAGACACCGGAAGAGTTGAGGTCAAAGGCCTATCCTCCAGAGACACACCTCTTATCATAGCTCACACGAGAGCTGAGCAGACCCAAGTCACATCGCAAGACTGGTCCTGTACGATGGGAAGGCAGCTACTGTGTTAATTCACCATATTTTTGTTGGCCTATTTATTTACAAAACCCTGTCGGAAATAGTCTATAGTTATTACATTCATTCATCATGGCACCAAGCAGAATATCCAAACTAGTCAGGGTCAATACCGTTTTCTATATATCATAACATTCAAATTATTGTAAGAACTGATTTCGATCTTAAGAACATGAGATCCTGAGTGTTCTGTTTCCTTGTAAAGCCCTGTCTAAGGCTTTCACTCTTTGCCTGGTGTTGTTTGGACCTGGGGACCAAGCCAGAGCTGAGCATCAGTGTGGAATGAAGAGGAAGGCCAAACAGGGGATTTTGGGTGCTACGTATCTATTTCATCTGAGGGGACAGAGGCGCCAGTTTGTGAGACCTTACCCCCCCCCCTGTCCTGCACTCAGCCTTAACGGTCAGGATGTGCTGAAAGTTACAACAGCACTCAGTGGAACCTTAATGAGCCAAAAAAAGTGAGAAGTTTATGCTCGATTGTCTCCTCATCATAATCTGAAAAGTTCATGCATATACAAGTCGTAATAAACTGATGATTGGTTCATATTACATGCATAAGTAAGTAAGTAAGTAAAGTTTATTTATAAAGCGCTTTTCACAGATAAAAATCACAAAGTGCTGTACAGGACAGTGGGCAAATACAAAACAGTATAAAATACACTTACACACATTTTATGTACTTAAAAGTGACATCAGTGAGAACCCGATCAACTAAAAGCTTTCTTAAATAAATAAGTCTTCAAGCCTTTTTTGAAAGAGTCCGCAGAGTCGACCAGACGTAGGGACAGGGGCAGGGCGTTCCACAGTCTGGGGGCAACAGACTGAAAAGACCGGTCCCCTCGAGTCTTATAATGGGTTTTGGGGACCACAAGCAGGTTCTGGCCAGAGGACCGGAGAGAACGGCCAGAGGAGTACAGGCTCAAAAGGTTCAGGATGTACTGGGGGGCCTGACCATTTAAGGCTCTGAAGGTCAGCACTAAGATCTTAAAATCAATCCTGAATTTGACTGGGAGCCAATGAAGAACAGACAGAACAGGAGTGATATGGGACCTACGAGGGGCACCTGTTAAAAGTCTAGCAGCAGAATTTACGGGTATAAATAAGTACGGTTCTTCCCGTGTTGTGTGAAACAAGTTGTATTATTTTATGTGATATGTGTGGGGTTGCCAATGACAAACAATGAAGTTTGTCATTATTGGCAACCATATCCGACAGATTTCCATTGATAGGTTTGCAACAGTAAAAGGGCTAATTGAAAATCAGTTCTCCCTTTGCAGAGGGAGCTTGGACCACTTGTCTCCTCCCAGCGGAGAAACGCCCTCGGGCGTAGATATAAAACTAGTCAGCCGTGATGTGTTCGCGGTACATGAAAGTTCACAGAGCTGGTCATCTGTATCCGCCCCTGTCCTCTGAGCTGCTCTCATGCGGTAAGCCGCTCCCAGGACGCGTGCATCATGTCCACTGGCTCTCTCAGTGATGTAGACGATGAGCTTCTAGACGGCATCTTTAAGTTTGCTTCTTCTGCTAAAGACTCCAACGAGAGCACAGAGGACAGCTCCAACGGAGAGAGTGCGTGCTCCGCAGAGGAGGCGGCTCAAGGCAAGAGGAGGAAAAGCGCGTCTCGAAAGTCCGCGCGTAAAGGCGCACCGCAGGAGGGCAAACAGGTGCAGAGGAACGCGGCCAACGCACGGGAGCGCGCGAGGATGCGCGTGCTGTCCAAAGCCTTCTCCCGCCTCAAGACGTCCCTGCCCTGGGTCCCCTCTGACACCAAACTCTCCAAACTGGACACGCTGCGGCTGGCCTCCAGCTACATCGCGCACCTACGCCAGATTCTGGCCAACGACAAGTACGAGAATGGATTTATCCACCCGGTCAACCTGGTAAGACACGAGCTGATCGTTCACATCTGCCTTTTTCTTTCTCTGGCTCGGACTGTTGTAGCAGGTGATGGAACTGCTACAAATGCATACTTATGATGCCAGAGCCTGTACGCATCTAAACAAAGTATACAATATTTTCATGAGAAACGTGACGTATTTTACGCTCACAGCCTTGTGTAGTTTGGCACACGTGAGCAACATATAGGCAAGGCAAGTTTATTTGTATACCACAATTCATACACAAGGCAACTCAAAGTGCTGAACAAAAGATAGAAACAGTATGGAAGACTTTTCTGAATTTAACAGAAAATAACCAAGAATGGATTTGAAACTTTTGCTCATGTTATTGTTAATGATTCGTCTATTCATACAAATATGTATTGTTTAAAAATCATCACAGACTTAAAATAACTAATTTGATAATGTTGATGATTGTGATTTGCAGAACATTTACTCATGATGCTTAAACCCTGGAAAAACAAGACAATATCTTGCAACTAAATACTTGCATGTCCAGCATAAACCAAGTGTTCTAAAGCGACAACAGTGTGTTCATCATTTTGTAGTGTTTCATTTTTATTATTTCAAATTATATTGTTCATGAAAGTCTTCTCCCTTTTTTCAGACGTGGCCTTTCATGGTGGCAGGAAAGCCGGAGAGTGAGCTGAAGGAGATCCTCAACACGACCAGACTGTGTGGAACCACTGCCTCCTGAAACTCAGCTTTTCACATGGACCATAAACATCGACGCTCTCTGTTTCGGGACATCACTGACAATTTTCTGAGTGGGAATAATGGAGGGAATCTTTTCCACTCCTTCGTTCCTGTATGGCTTTTTTATATTTAAATGTATTACTGATCTTTGCTGGCTCAAAGATGATGCTGCTTTTATACCCTGATGCATTTTGACCTGTTTGAATGTCCAAGTGTCACATTTTGAAAATGTACATGTATTAAACTATATCTTTATATCTGGCATCAGACGGTTTGTGTGTGGGCCGTGACGCTAACCTTTCCTATCTGTTCTCCTCCTCACAATAACACAGCGCTGGGCAGATAACGCTCTCTCTGTTGTTTCTGAGATACCACTGGACGTCTTTGTCAGAACATAAACAAACTTTCGACGACACAGAAATGCTGAACTCAGAGGAAAAATACTAATTTATGTTTACAGAATATTTCGATTAGAGTACACTTCATTGGATTGATTTGCTTCATCCCTGGCAGAGGTGAGGTAATGTAATTGCCAGGGTTTGTTTGTTTGTCAGTATAGTTATCTCTCATTTTCTGTAAAGCTTGGAAATGGGAACAAATGATTACATATTGCTTCACTCTCAGAATCCCAGGTTTTTGTGGAATTAAACCGCACCTTTTGGCAGAGGTATGTGCTCTTCTAGAGAAGATGAGATAAAGCACCAGTTATCGTCACCATTTGAATTTGTGATAATATGTATTTCTGTAATGTAAGAACCATATCACAATAATGTGCATTTTTGTTAGCTGGAGCAGTGTTCTTTTTACTAATAAGAGCGGAAACATGGAAAAATGTACCAGATATTTCAGAAAGAAACTTATGCAAAAGACAATAACTGCCTAATTAGGCTATATCATTAATTTGTTGCATGCTTTGATGTCCATACTTGTATCTGTCAGCCAATGGCAGTGCAGTGGGTCTTGGGAACATCATGGGATCAAAGTGGAGATCTCACAGTGGTAGTGGTGCTGTTCCGCCCTGTGCCGTTGTTTTAAATGGTTCGGGTTATGACCGCAGTGTTTACGCCTCACAGACAGATATTTATGTGAAGCTGCAGACACGTGGGCCTCTCTGCACCACCGCCTCCATCTCCCACTTTATTATCAAAACAGAGGGATCGATGTAGATGGCTTTCTGCTTTTGAAAAGATTACACACACACATTCCTATGTAACAAAATGACCAAGTATACATCTAAGGAATAAATAAAGATGGATTATTGTTTGATAAATAATAATTTGTGTGAAAACTTCAAGGACAAAACTACCTTTTTAGGCCTGCACCAATATGAAACATTGTACTAATAATTTGTTTGTTGTGGCCACATCTGTTTGTCAAAGGCTGTGGTTCATATCCGTGATGGAAGAATGCTGCAGGTTCCCGGGACGGCTGAAGAAAATTTCAATGTGGTGTGTGAATGACTGATAGATGATGGTTGGAAGGGCCAATGGCACAGATCTGTAGCCCATCTACCCCAGGGCAGCTGTGGCTGTAGAACCATAAAGTTCATTGAGTGCATATATAAGACATTGAGTGTTTAAATATGCAGTGTATCTTCAATGGATTTTTTTTAATCTGATGTAATTTGTGATTATGCAAAAATGGAAAAAAAATGTATTAATAATTACATGGTATGGTTAAGCAATATAATATAAAATTACATGTTTAAATTTAAATATTGCATAATTATGTGTATTCTTCCTGGTGAGTGAGAGAAAGTAAAGAATAAATGTAGATATTACACAATACAACCAATTAATTCTCATTTTTACATTCACAATAAGTATTAAATGTGTTCAAACGTGTTTTAAAGATGTAGGGAAACACTTGTGGAAAACCAGGTCCGCAGCAATTCCGCTAATTTGGCGCCAAATGGTTTCTGTAGACCCATACATTTTTAAAAACATATTTTCAAAGGTCAATGCACATTTAAAAAAACTGGGGAAAAAACACAAGTCTATGGCAGAAATCAACGATCTAACGAAATCAGAAATATTGAGACTCAATTCGGTGCAATATTAACAGTTTTTGGATGCAACGCGCTGCTATTTACAATTTCTCCAACCTGTCCTATAATCAATGCTGCCCTCTTCTGTCCAATACGTATTTAACATGTATTCTGTTATTCAGCAAAGTTTATGAGACTGTGATGGGACTGCAGGTGGCAGTAGCCAGTCGCAAAAACACAGGACTCCAAATTGTGAGCACCTAGTGCACTTGCAAAAAGTAAACTGAAGAAACATGTTTGTATATTTTTATTTATGCATGCCTTCTTGAATTTATTCTGCTTTAGTTTGGACCGAGAGCCATGGTAATTTCCTAGTTTGTGACTTCCTGTTACTCACATGGCAATACAAGGATTCTGATTCTGATTCAATATGATGTTTATGTTATTTTATTTAGTCTGTGCAATAATAACAAAGAAGTGTGTTTTATGATATTATTTATTCATCCCATGGGGGGACATATTGCCACATAAGGACCAGACAGCACAAGACAGTTGCGGGCAAGATAAAAAATGCTTTAGCTTCAACCTCCTTTGGTTTGAAGGAGCATTGTGCCACTTTCCAGATGGAGTCCAGCAGCTTGTCATTGCCATGAATATGTAACTGCTTTGCTTTTATGATCATTAGTGTTCTATGTGTACAATATTTAATGAGAGTTTAATGACAGGTTTTTGCATCTCCAAAAACATGAATTCCAACAGCGAGCCGTCCACTGTCCACAGATATGAACTGTAACTTGGCTTAGTGACATCACTTATAGCTGGATACGTTTAACAACATACTGTGGAGGATTCCAGGGAGACATTTTTTTCTTACATCAACAAAGGCAAGTGGTGGATTCTCCCTTAAGATTCATGGAATGCTCCTGAGGTATACACCTAAAAACACTAGGAACAGATAGAAGTAATCTTGAAAAGAGTAGGTTCTCTATGTTAAAGCTTCAAACCAATATTCACGTATTATTATTGTTAGTAGTTAGTTGCAGGTGATCAGGCCTCACAGATAGACAGACAGACAGACAGACAGACACAGACAGGCAGGCAGACAGAAGGACAGGCAGGCAGGCAGACAGACAGGTACAGACAGGCAGGCAGACATAAAGGTAGACAAAAAGACAGACAGACAGACAGACAGGTACAGACAGGCAGGCAGACAGGCAGGTACAGACAGGCAGGCAGGCAGACAGACAGACAGGCAGACAGACAGGCAGGCAGACATAAAGGTAGACAAAAAGACAGACAGACATACAGGCAGACAGACAGACAGACAGACAGGCAGGCAGACATAAAGGTAGACAAAAAGACAGACAGACAGGCAGGCAGGCAGGCAGACAGACAGGCAGACATAAAGGTAGACAAAAAGACAGACAGACAGGTACAGACAGGCAGGCAGACAGGCAGGTACAGACAGGCAGGCAGACAGGCAGACAGACAGACAGGCAGACAGACAGGCAGGCAGACATAAAGGTAGACAAAAAGACAGACAGGTACAGACAGGCAGGCAGACAGACAGGCAGGCAGGCAGACAGACAGACAGGCAGACATAAAGGTAGACAAAAAGACAGACAGACATACAGGCAGACAGACATAAAGGTAGACAAAAAGACAGACAGACAGACAGACAGGTACAGACAGGCAGGCAGACAGACAGACAGGCAGGTACAGACAGGCAGGCAGGCAGACAGACAGACAGGTACAGACAGGCAGGCAGACAGACAGGCAGGCAGACAGGCAGACAGACAGACAGACAGGTACAGACAGGCAGACAGACAGACAGGCAGACATAAAGGTAGACAAAAAGACAGACAGGTACAGACAGGCAGGCAGACAGACAGACAGACAGGCAGGCAGGCAGACAGACAGACAGGCAGACAGACAGACAGGTACAGACAGGCAGGCAGACATAAAGGTAGACAGACAGGCAGACAGACAGACAGGTACAGACAGGCAGGCAGACATAAAGGTAGACAAAAAGACAGACAGACAGACAGACAGGTACAGACAGGCAGGCAGACAGGCAGGTACAGACAGGCAGGCAGGCAGACAGACAGACAGGCAGGCAGACATAAAGGTAGACAAAAAGACAGACAGACATACAGGCAGACAGACAGACAGGCAGACAGACATAAAGGTAGACAAAAAGACAGACAGACAGACAGACAGGTACAGACAGGCAGGCAGGCAGGCAGACAGACAGACAGGCAGACAGACAGGCAGGCAGGCAGACAGACAGACAGGCAGACATAAAGGTAGACAAAAAGACAGACAGACATACAGGCAGACAGACAGACAGGCAGACAGACATAAAGGTAGACAAAAAGACAGACAGGTACAGACAGGCAGGCAGACAGGCAGGTACAGACAGGCAGGCAGGCAGACAGACAGACAGGCAGACAGACAGGCAGGCAGACATAAAGGTAGACAAAAAGACAGACAGACATACAGGCAGACAGACAGACAGACAGGCAGGCAGACATAAAGGTAGACAAAAAGACAGACAGGTACAGACAGGCAGACAGACAGACAGGTACAGACAGGCAGGCAGGCAGACAGACAGACAGGCAGACAGACAGGCAGGCAGACATAAAGGTAGACAAAAAGACAGACAGACATACAGGCAGACAGACAGACAGGCAGACAGACATAAAGGTAGACAAAAAGACAGACAGACAGACAGACAGGTACAGACAGGCAGGCAGACAGACAGACAGGCAGGCAGGCAGACAGACAGACAGACAGGCAGACAGACAGGCAGGCAGACATAAAGGTAGACAAAAAGACAGACAGACAGACAGACAGGTACAGACAGGCAGGCAGACAGGCAGGTACAGACAGGCAGGCAGGCAGACATAAAGGTAGACAAAAAGACAGACAGGTACAGACAGGCAGGCAGACAGACAGGCAGACAGACATAAAGGTAGACAAAAAGACAGACAGACAGACAGACAGGTACAGAC